GCATATAAAATATTAACAAAATAATTGAACTAACTTAGAACATATATTTGTATATAATATTGAAAATTGAATTCAATTTTGGATACAGATAAACACTCCAGCAGTTGGTGCATGTATCCTTATTCAAAATGTTGAATTTAAATTCAATCGTTCCTTATATAAAAAAGGAAAATCTAAACATAGATATGGATCTATATATAAAAGGATAAAGTAAATCCCATTATGAGTTTTTCGTTGAAATCCAAAGTTATGAAAAAAGTGTTCTTTTAATGCAATAATGCACAACTAGTTGGTTATTTTAAACGTAAACAGGTTTTTATTTTGACAGCTAACCATTTGATTGAATGATAAGTGCATGCATTTACTATTCAGAAATTAATTTGAATCTTTCCTTCTCAAAAGAAAATGCAGTTTTGAAGGTTTAGTCTTAAAAAAAGGCTTCTTTTTAAATTCAAGATGACTCTTTTAATATTCTTAATACATTGCATTTCAGTTTGAGAGAAGCCAAAAAATGAATTAAAAGAAAAGCCAAGGATTGCTCATGGGAATTGTATATTCTAAGAAATAAGAATTTTTTTCCCAATCAACCGATTATTTAATTCATCATATCCTTGACAAAGATTATCACGCTTAAGTATCACATAATAAGGTTGATGAATTTTGAAACTTTTGCTCGAATTTTAAGCTCTTGGGTGGCCTTATTCGAGTGGTCTATGCTACAGGAGTGTTCAGAAGATGTTTGAAAATATTTGAGAAGATTGGTCGATTGATTAATATACCTTTTTGTCTTAGAGTTAGGCGAACAGATGAGATATTTTGTCAAGTTTGACTATTAATTACAATACATTTGAATCAAAACTAGCATGCTTATCTAACCTACGAACACGATAATATTTCACCACACTAAAACATGTGCATAATAATGTCCATTTGGGATAATAATGTCCATTTGGGATAATACACATTTGGGATAATCCTTTTTTATCATGAATTTGGTGGGTAGATAAAATTTGCTGTCAAATCTGATCATTAGATTATATCTAGATGAGAACTATCATATATATGTCTTTTTCGCATGTGATAATTTTTTGTCATCATGATCATCCAAGATAATACCACCTTCTCTTAATCAAAAGATTGATCCACTATATATTATTTTTTACTTCTTTAATATGAATAATTAAGGTAAATGGATAACTTTTCTTATGAAATTTTATCATTAAAATACATTTGAATATAAACTAGCACACCTTGAACGAAATAGAAGCTTTAAGGTTAATAGTTCACACAAATTCAAATAATTTAATAACACAATTGTTTTCAATATTAGTCCAGATAATATGCATTAGACATAATTGAATAATGATGAATTATCTTACCATAGTGAGCAAGAAATTAAATTCTCTTACCGTCCATCTTTTATAATAAAATCTTGATAAGTGGATTTGCTAACCTGTAAGGCATTATTCTTTTAATCTTTAAACTATCCTTGACACGATCATTTACCAACTTAGCTCTTTAATGATTTTCCCCATTTCTCTCAATATATAAAATCCTCATTAGCTACCATTCAAGCAATGCAATTCTCTTCTTCTCCCCCTATTAGAAATATATAGTTGAAGAAACGAAGTGACTTGTTGTGTACAGAACAATAACCATGACAAGAAAGATAGTGAAGCTTGAATGGATAGCGAATGACATTGTCCCAAAACGTGTGCTAGAAGGAGGTCAATAGCACTTTTGAAATGACGCAAAAATTCTTTCCAAGTAAAGAGATAATTAAGGGAATTTGAAAATGAAAGTTTAAAGCTTGTTAAAAGAATGATTTAAATGTTAAGAGTGAGAAGAAAATAAAAGAAAGTGGACAAAAGACAATGATATATAGTGGTTTGGTCCCTTTGACCTACATCTATTACCTTGATCTCCTATTGAAGGATTTTCAAACCAATTCACTAAATTTAGTGGAATTCATAAGCTTCCACCAAGCTTTTACAATGGCTTTTGATAGGCTCAGCCACAAACCTTTAACAATGGTTTTTAAAGGGATCAACCAAAACCCAAAACTAACCTTTTTAAGGGTATGTTAGAACCTACAACAACAAAGAAGCTGGCCCAAGCTTGATCTACCCCTTAGAGTGTTTCTCACACTTTAAATAAACAAGAAATAGAGAAAATATGAAGTACAATTAATCACTTAACTGATCTAAGATGTACAAAGTTAAGCTCAAACACATTTTCAAAGGATATGAGTGAAATACAAGTGTTAAGAAAAGGTTTTTGGTCTTCTAAGTTCAAAATCACTTTGGATAACTTCTTTATGTGATCTTTGATTGTTAGAGAGGCTTTAAATACTTGAAAAATCACTTCTGGCCATTGGAGACAGAAATTAGCCGTTTCTGGTTATTATTTTGTCTTTTTTTCCTTAAATTCAAATTTTTTGGCAACAAGCTTTTAGTTGGTTAACCATACTTCTTAGTTGATTAAGTCTTTTCTATCTCATAGTCTGCTTTTCTCTGTTAATTGTTTAAGAAAAACTTTAACCGATTAATAGCTTATTGCTTCTAGAGCAAGCAGCTTCACCAACTTTTTTTTGTTTGATTAATTCTTATCTTAGCTTGGTAACACTGATCTTCCATTTCCCTTAAACAACCATGAGATACGTTAGTCATTCGAGGCTTCTTGAATTGTTCTTCACAAATTTGACTACTTTCATTTTGGATATTCACTTTTGGATTTTAGCTAACTAACTACCTTGGTTAACCGACTAGGAGGCTTTTGTTTGTATCCAACACTCGCTTAACTAATTAAATCTTGTGTTAACTAGTTAAGACCTTTTTGTCTATCCTTAGTGTAGCACCCAAAATAGCTTTAATTGATTAAGGATTTGTGTTAATCAGTTAAGACTAATCTGTCTTCATTAAAGGTCTTTCTTTTTTGCTTGTTTAACCAATTAACCCATCTTACAACTGAACATGCATCTTGATTTGCTTTCAAATACCAAATATGTTAATGAATTTAAGCTTTCCCTGCACATTTAAATAATATAATTTAGACACCTATGAATTGGAATGTTTTGTTATCATCAAAAACACATGGAGTCAACATTCTCTCTCTTATTTTTTATGATGAAAAAATACTCCTAGATCAAGAATGCAATGTCTATGCTCAATATCAATGCTTCAAATCTTTATGCATAATGAGTTGCTCCCTTTTAGTTAAGGCATCTAATTTTCTTTAAAGATTTGGAATAAAATATTTATAACATCCATAGTAGCTAAACAAGATATACATCATCTACAGTAACTACGCAAGATATATTGAATATCCATAATAACTAGCACATAATATTCAACAAAACCATAACTAAGCATCACACACAAAAATTAAACATAAAAACATATCAAACTCTATTTAACTTAGTTTTCCTTATCTTCTTTTTCGTTATCATGAAAAAAAATATTCATAACTTCCCTTTAATGAGTGCATCTAAATTTTTCTTTAATCTTTAAATTAAACTTTTATGAATAGGAATCATAAGCACTCATACACCTAAGTTATACAAAGTTATAGATATAATTCAATAACTTCAAGAGTCAAGCTCAAAACTATGAAAAAACAAATGTAAGGGCATTAAATCATTTCAAGAACTTGTCAAGGATCACTCAAATAAAGTTTAAGCAAATTTGATCATTTTATCGTAATCAAAACTATAATAATTTTAAAGCTAACATGACAATGCCAAAAGACTTAGCCTCTAGAAATGGAAGTTAGGATTATTAAAGTAAATGAATGTGTTATCCACTCTATACGATATCAATGCTTGTGCCATCATCTATGGCCTAGACAAAATTGAACCAGCGTGTGGTTGTCACATGATGTGGTACAACAACAACTTAAACAATTCCAAAGCTTTTCCGAGTTGGAGCAACTAAAGAAAAGGATGAACCAAGAAACCTACCTCAAAGAGTAGGTTAAGAAAGCCAAAGAACAATTGATTAAGTACGAAATGAAAAGCAAGGAAATTGAGATGGCCCAACTCATGCATAAAATCAATCAAGGCAAGGGGCTTGATGAAGTTAACCTTAGCGAACTAAATGGGTTGTCTTTGTTTATGGATGAGAAGATAAAGAAGATTAGCAAACGGATTGAGATTTTGCAGTAAGCTCCTTTTGCTCCTACAAGCACCTTTCCTAGTCCACATCTTCCTTTTCCTTCCCAAGGCCATATTGTAAATGAAATGGCTCAAGCTAGTAATGGCAAAATTAACAATGGAGATCAGAGCACTCCTATAGAGCTTTTGCTATGGAACCAATGTTTCATCAATTTGATGAACAAAAATGAACCCAAACTTGTTAGCAATAAGAGCATACGGAGTGATATGGGCTTACAATATAATACACTAGTTGGGACTACTACAGATGATTTAGGGCTACCAATGCACTCATTAGCTAGCAACTTCAATGTTGTAGCTGACATGGGGCTGCCTCCTATAGGTTTTATACCCCATGGTGCAAGTGATGTGGGGCTTTGTCATGGGAGTCTAGTCGAAGGTAGCAATTTTGGCCCTGTTAGGAGTGATATAGGGTTAGGATTGCACCTTTTAGGTGGACATTAGGGAAGCAACTCCATTGGGAGAGAGATAAGGTTGCAACATCTTCGACATTTCAAAAGCAACAGTAGTGGCATTGGCAAGGATATCGAATTGCCAATTGATTAAAAAATCTGGCCAAACTATTTCTCTCCTTGAATTCAATTTGCTTCATTGTTTAGTTGCATCATGTATCCACAGAAAGTCATATTCATGAATTTATGGGTGTGACTAGATTTAGTTTCTGTTGTTGGCCAATTGTTATTTCATTGTTTAGTTTCAAGAAAATCATGATGTAATAAACATAATGGTTTTATGATTCAAGAAGCATAATCTTCTTGCTTTCTTTTTGTTCTATGAAGCATATAAAATATTAAGAAAATAATTGAACTAACTTAAAATATATATATATAATATTGAAAATTGAATTCAATTTTCAACATAGATGAACACTCTAGTAGTTGGTGCATGTATCCTTATTCAAAATGTTGAATTGAAAGTCAATCATTCCTTCTATAAGAAAAGAAAATTTAAACATAGATATTGATCAATATATAAAGGGATAAAATAAATCCCATTATGAGTTTTTTGTTGAAATCTGTGGTTACGAAAAAAATTGTTCTTTTAATGCAATAATGAACAACTAATAGCTTATCTTAAACATAAGCAGGAAAAAGGGTAATTTTTCATTTTGAAAGCTAACCATCTAATTGAGTGATAAGTGCATGCATCTACTATTCAAAAATTTAATTTGAATCTTTCCTTCTCAAAACAAAATGCAATTTTGAAAGTTTAATCTTAAAAAAAGGCATCCTTTTTAATAAAAATGTGACCCTTTTAATATTGTTAATACATTGGATTTTAGTTTGAGAGAAGCCAAAATATTAATTAAAAGAAAGGCCAAAGATTGCTCATGCGAATTGTACATTCTAAGAACTATGAATCTTTTCACCAATCAACCAATTATTTAAGTCATCATATTCTAGACAAAGATTATCACCCTCATGTATTAAATAATCAAGTTGATGAAATTTTGAAACTTTCGCTCAAATTTTAAGCTTCTAAATGGCCTTTGTTCAAATGATCTAGGTTACAAGAGTGTTTGAAAAATGGTTTGAAAATATTTGAGAAAACTGGTTATTAATATACCTTTTTGTCTTGGAGTTTGGTGAATACATGAGATCTTTTGTCAAGTTGGACTATTAATTATAACACATTTGAATCAAAACTGGCATGCTTATCTAACCTATGAACATGGTAATATTTCACTAGTCTTTAACATGTGCATAATAATGTTCATCTGGGATAATGCACACTATTCTTTACAGAATGATTGATTAGGTAATATACTTTTTTGTTATGAATTTGGTGGACAAAAAAATCAGCTATCAAATCTAATCATTAGATTATATACAAATGAGAACTACCATGTATATGTCTTTTTCGTACATGATAATTTTTTGTCATCATGATCATCCAAGATAATATGATATTCTCTTAATCAGAAGATTGATCCACTAATTGATTAATATATTGTTTTATAATTTTTCAATATGAATAATTAAGGTGAATAAACAAAATTTTTTGTGAAATTTTATCATTTTAATACATTTGTATATAAACTAGCACACCCTGAACAAAATAGAAGCTTTAAGGTTAAGAGTTCACAAAAATTCAAATAATTTAATACCACAACTATTTCAATATTAGTCCAGATAATATACATTAGACATAATTGAATAATGATGAATTATCTTAACATAGTGAGCAACAAATTAAATTCTTTTACCATTCATCATTTATCATAAAATCTTGATGAGTGGATTTGCTAACCTGTAAGGCATTATTCTCTTAATCTCCAAACTATCTTTGACATGATCATTTGCCAACTTAGCTCTTCAATGATATTTCCCATCTTTCTTACTATATAAAGTCCTCATTGGCTACCATTCAAGCAATGTAATTCTCTTCTTCTCCCCCTATTAGAAATATATAGTTCAAGAAAAAGAAAGACTCGCCATTCACGGAGCAATAGCCATGACAAGAAAGAAAGTGAAGCTTGAATGGATAGCGAACGACAATGCCAAAAGACTTAGCCTCAAGAAAAAGAGGATGGGATTATTGAAGAAAATGAGTGAGCTATCCACTTTATGCGGTGTCAATGCTTATGCCATCATTTACGGCCTAGATGAAATCGAGCCAATGATGTGGCCATCAGATGACGTGATACAACAACAACTTGCACAGTTCCAAAGCTTGTCCGAGTTAGAGCGACTAAAGAAAATGATGAACCAAGAAACCTTCCTCAAAGAGCAGGTTAAGAAGGCTAGAGAACACTTGATGAAGTACGAAAAGAGGAACAAGGAAATGGAGATGGCCTAACTCGTGTATCAAATCAATCAAAGCAAGGGGCATGATGAACTTAACCATAGTTAATTGAATAGGTTGTCTTTGTTTGTGGATGAGAAGATCAAAGAGATTAGCAAACGGATTAAGTTTTCCCAATAAGCTTTTTTTGCTCCTACAAGTGCCCTGCCTGATCCACATTTTCCTCTTCCTCCCCAATGCTTTATAGTAAATGAAATGGCTCAAACTAGCAATAGCAAAATCGACAATGGCAGAGATTGGAGCACTCCTATAAAGCCTTTGCTAGCAATGAAATGGAACCAATGTTTTATCGATATGATGAACAAAAATGAACCCAAACTTGCTAGCAATAATAGCATAAAGAATGATATGGGCTTACCATATCACCCACTAGCTGGGAGTGCTACAGATTACCTGAGGCTACCAATACACTCATTGGCTATCAACTTTAGTGCTGTAGCTGACATGGGGTTGCCTCTTACAGATTTTATACCCCATGGTGCAAATGACAAGGGGCTTTGTCATGGGATCCTTGTAGAAGGTAGCAATTTTGGCCCATTTAGGAGTGATATAGTGTTGGGACTGCACCCTTTAAATGGACATTTAGGAAGCAACTCCATCAGGAGTGGGATAGGGCTACCATATCTTCGGTATTCCAGTGGTAGTAGTAGTGGCGTTGGCAAGGATATCGAATTGCCATTTAATTAGAAAATCTTGCCAAACTATTTCTCTCTTGGAATTTAATTTGCTTCATTGTTTAGTTGCATCGTGCATCCATAGGAAGTCATATTCATGAATTTATGAGTATGACCAAATTTAGTTTCCTTTGTTGGCAAGTTGTTATTTTGTTCTTTAGTTTCAAGTAAATTATGATGTAAGAAACATATTGGTTTTATGATTCAAAAGACATAATCTCCTTGCTTTCTTTTTATTTTATGAAGCGTATAAAATATTAAGAAAATAATTGAACTAACTTAGAATATATATAATATTAAAAATTGAATTCAAGTTTTTGGCATAGATGAACACTCCAGTAGTTGGTGCATGTATCCTTATTGAAAATGTTGAATTCAAATTCAATCATTCCTTGTATAAAAAAAAATCTAAACATAGATATGGATCTATATATAAAGGGATAAAATAAATTCCATTATGAGTTTTTCATTGAAATATGAAGTTATGATAAAAATTGCTCTTTTAAAGTAATAATGCACAACTAATTGCTTATCTTAAATGTAAGCAGGAAAAAAGGTAATTTTTTATTTTGACAGCTAACCATTTGACTGAATGATAACTGCATGCATCTACTATTCAAAAATTTAATTTCAATCTTTCCATCTCAAAAGAAAATGCAGTTTTGAAAGTTTAGTCTTAAGAAAAGGCTTCTGTTTTAATAAAAATGTGACTCTTTTAATACTGTTAATACATTGCATTTTATTTTGAGAAAAGCCAAAATATTAATTAAAAAAAAGGCCAAGGATCACTCATCCGAACTGTACATTTTAAGAACCAAGACTTTTTTTGCCAATCAACCAATTATTTAATTCGTTATATCCTGGACAAAGATTATCACCCTCAAGTATCACATAACAAGGTTGATCAAATTTTGAAACTGTCGCTCAAATTTTAAGCTCTTGAGTGGCCTTTGTTTGAGTGGTCGAGGTAACAAAACTGTTTGCAATATGGTTTGAATATATTTGAGAAGGCTAGTCGATTGATTAATATGCCTTCTTGTCATGGACTTAAGTGAACAGATGAGATCTTTTGTCAAGTTTGACTAGCAATTACAATACATTTGATTATAAACTGGCATTCTTATCTAACCTGCGAACATGGTAATATTTTACCACACTAAAACATGTACATAATAATGTTCATTTGGGATAATTCACGTTTGTCTTGAAAGAATGATTGATTAGGTAATATAATTTTTTGTTATGAATTTGGTGGGCAGATAAAATCTGCTATCAAATCTGATCATTAGATTATATCCAAACGAAAACAATCATCTATATGTCTCTTTCGCACATGATAATTTTCTGTCATCATGAGCATCCAACATGATACGATATTCCCTTAATCAGAAGATCAATCCACTAATTGATTAATATATTATTTTATATTGTTTTTAATATGAATAATTAAGATGAATAGATGAAATTTTTTGTGAAATTTTCTTAATAAAATACATTTGAATATAAACTAGAAATAGAAGCTTTAAGGTTAATAGTTCACACAAATTCAAATAATTTAATAGCACAATTGTTTTCAATAGTAGTCCAGATAATATACATCAGACATAATTGAAAAATGATTAATTATCTTACCATAGTGAGCAAGAAATTAAAGTCTCTTACCATCCAGCATTTGCCAAAAAATCTTGATGAGTGGATTTGGTAACCTGTAAGACGTTATTCTCTTAATCTCTAACCTATCCTTGACAGGATCATTTACCAACTCAGCATTTCAATGATTTTTCCCATCTCTATCACTATATAAAGTCTTCACTGGCTACCATCCAAGCAACCCAATTCTTTTATACTCCCCTTGTTAGAAATATATAGTTGAAGAAAAAGAGAGACTCGCCATTTACAAAGCAATAATCATGACAAGAAAGAAAGTGAAGCTTGAATGGATAGCGAATGACAATGCTAGAAGACTTAGCCTCAAGAAAAGGAGGTTAGGATTATTAAAGAAAATAAGTGAGCTATCCACTCTATGCGGTGTCAATGCTTGTGCCATCATCTGTGGCCTAGACGAAATCGAGCCAACGGTGTGGCCGTCACATGACATGGTACAACAACAACTTGCACAGTTCCAAAGCTTGTCAGAGTTAGAGCGACTCAAGAAAACGATGAACCAAGAAACCTACCTCAAAGAGCAGGTTAAGAAGGCTAGAGAACAACAAATGAAGTATGAAAAGAGGAACATGGAACTGGAGATGGCCCAACTCATGTATCAAATCAATCAAGGCAAGGGGCTAGATGAACTTAACCTTAGTGAGCTGAATGGGTTGTCTTTGTTTGTAGATGCGAAGATAAAGGAGATTAGCAAACGGATTGAGTTTTTCCAGCAAGCTCCTTTTGCTCATACAAGTGCCTTTCCTGAGCCACATCTTTCTCTTTCGCCCCAGTGCCTTATATTAAATGAAATGGCTCAAACTAGCAATGGTAAAACTATCAATGGCGAAGATTGGAGCACTCCTACAGAGCCTTTGCTATGGAGCCAATGTTTCATCAATTCGATGAACAAAAATGAACCCAAACTTGCTAGTAATAGAAGCACAAAGAGTGATATGGGCTTGCCATATCACCTACTAGCTGGGAGTGCTATAGATGATCTATGGCAACCAATACACTCATTGGCTAGCAACTTCAGTATTGCAGCTGACATGGGGTTGCCTCCTACAAATTTTATACCCCATGGTGCAAGTGACGCAAGCCTTTGTCATGGGAGCCTAGTCGGAGGTAGCAATTTTGGCCCAATTAGGACTGATATAGGGCTGGGACTGCACCCTTTAGGTGGACATTTCAGAAGCAACACCGCCGGAAGTGAGATAGGGCTGCCACATCTTCGGCATTCCGGTGGCAGCAGTAGTGGTGTTGGCAAGGATATCGAATTGCCATTTAATTAGAAAATCTTGCCAAACTATTTCTCTCTTGGAATTTAATTCGCTTTGTTGTGTAGTTGCATCGTGTATCCACAAGTAGTCATATTCATTAATTTATGAGTATGACCAAATTTAGTTTCCTTTGTTGGCTAGTTGTTATTTTGTTCTTTAGTTTCAAGTAAATTATTATGTAATAAACATAATGGTTTTATGATTCAAGAAACATAACCTTCTTGCCTTCTCTTTGTTCTATGAAGCATATAAAATTTTAAGAAAATAATTGAAGTAACTTAGAATATATACATATATATAATATTGAAAATTGAATTCAATTTTCAACATAGATGAACACTCTAGTAGTTGGCGCATGTATCCTTATTCAAAATGTTGAATTGAAATTCAATCATTCCTTCTATAAAAAAAGAAAATCTAAACGTAGATGTTAACCTATATATGAAGGGATAAAAGAAATCCCATTATGAGTTTTTCATTGAAATCTATAGTTACGAAAAAAAATTGTTCTTTTAATGCAAAAATGCACAACTAATTGCTTGTCTTAAATGTAAATAGGAAAAAGGGTAATTTTTTATTTTGAAAACTAACCATTTGGTTGAATGATAAGTGCATGCATCTACTATTCAAAACTTTAATTTGAATCTTTCCTACTTAAAAGACAACGCAATTTAGAAAGTTGAATCTTAAAAAAAAGGTATCATTTTTAATGAAAATGTGACTCTTTTAATATTGTTAATACATTGCATTTTAGTTTGGAAGAAGCCAAAATATTAATTAAAAGAAAAGCCAAAGATCGCTCATGCGAATTGTACATTCTAAGAACTATGAATTTTTTAGCCAATCAACCAATTATTTAATTCGCCATATTCTAGAGAAAGATTGTCACCCTCAGGTATAAGATAATCAGGTTGATGAAATTTTGAAACTTTTGCTTGGATTTTAGGCTCTTGGGTGGCCTTTGTTCGAGTAGTCTAGGTTACAAGAGTGTTCATAAAATGGTATGAAAATATTTGAGAAGACTAGTCGATTGATTAATAGACGTTTTTGTCTTGGAGTTAGGTGAACAAATGAGATCTTTTGTCAAGTTTGACTATTAATTACAATACATTTGAATCAAAACTGGCATGCTTATCTAACCTTTGAACATGGTAATATTTCACCATTCTATAACATAAGCATAACAATGTTCATTTAGGATAATACACATTTTTCTTTAAAGAATGATTGATAAGGTAATATACTTTTTGGTTATGAGTTTGGTGGAAAGATAAATCTACTGTCAAATATGATCATTAGATTATATACAAATGAGAACTATCATGTATATGTCTTTCTCACGCATGATAATTTTCTGTCATCATGATCATCCAAGATAATATGATATTCACTTAATTTGAAAATTGATCCACTAATTGATTAATATATTGTTTTATACTTTTTTAATATGAATAATGAAGTGAATAGACAAAATTTTTTGTGAAACTTTATCATTAAAATATGTTTAATATAAACTAGCACACCATGAACAAAATAGAAGCTTTAAGGTTAATAGTTCACATAAATTCAAATAATTTAGTAACAATTGTTTTCAATATTAGTCTAGATAATTTACATTAGACATAATCGAATAATGATGAATTATCTTACCATAGTGAGCAACAAATTAAATTCTCATATAATCCATCATTTATCATGAAATCTTGACTAGTGGATTTGCTAACCCGTAAGGCATTATTCTCTTAATCTCCAAACTATCCTTGACATGAGCATTTACTAACTCAGCTCTTCAATGATTTTTCCCATCTTTCTCACTATATAAAGTCCTCATTGGCTACCATTCAAGCAACGCAATTCTTCTCCCCCTATGAGAAATATATAGTTCAAGAAAAAGAGAGACTCACCATTCCCGGAGCAATAACCATGACAAGAAAGAAAGTGAAGCTTGAATGGATAGCCAATGACAATGCAAAAAGACTTACCCTCAAGAAAAGGAGGTTGGGATTATTGAAGAAAATGAGTGAGCTATCCACTCGATGCGGTGTTAATGTTTGTGCTATCATGTATGGCCCAAACGAAATCGAGCCAATGGTGTGGCCATCACATGACGTGGTACAACAACAACTTGCATAGTTCCAAAGCTTGTTCGAGTTAGAGCGACTAAAGAAAATGATGAACTAAGAAACCTACCTCAAAGAGCAGGTTAAGAAGGTTAGAGAACAATTGATGAAATACAAAAAGTGGAACAAGGAAATGGAGATGGCTCAACTCATGTATCAAATCAATCAAGGCAAAGGGCTTAATGAACTTAACCTTTGTGAACTGAATGGGTTGTCTTTATTTGTGGGTAAGAAGATAAAGGAGATTAGTAAACGGATTGAGTTTTTCCAAGAAGTTCTTTTTGCTCCTACAAGTGCCCTTCCTGATCCACATCTTCCTCCCCAATGCCTTACAGTAAATGAAATGACTCAAACTAGCAATGGCAAAGCTGGCGATGGCGATGACTGGAGCACTCCTACAGAGCCTTTGTTATGGAGCCAATATTTCATTGATATGATGAACAAAAATGAACTCAAACTTGCTAGCAATAGAAGCATAAAGAAAAATATGTATCACCCACCAGTTGGGAGTGCTATAGATGATCTGGGGCTACCAATACACTCATTGGCTAGCAATTTCAGTGTTGTAGCTGACATGGGGTTGCCTTCTACGAATTTTGTAGCCCATGGTGCAAGTGACATGAGGCTTTGTCATGGGAGACTAGTCAGAGGTAGCAATTTTGGCCCATTTAGGAGTGATATAGGGCTGGGACTGCACCATTTAGGTGGACATTTAGGAAACAACTCCATCAGAAGCGAGATAGGGCTGCCACATCTTTGACATTCCAATGGAAACAGTAGTGGCGTTGGCGAGGATATCGAATTGCCATTTAATTAGAAAATCTTGCCAAACTATTTCTCTCCTAGAATTTAATTTGCTCCATTGTTTAGTTGCATCATGTATCCATAAGAGGTCATATTCATGAATTTATGAGTATGACCAAATTTAGCTTCCTTTGTTGGCCAGTTGTTATTTTTTTCTTTAGTTTCAAATAAATTATGATGTAATAAACATAATGGTTTTATGATTCAAGAAACATAATCTTCTTGCTTTCTTTTTGTTCTATGAAGCATATAAAATATTAAGAAAATAATTGAACTAACTTAGAATATATATATATTGAAAATTGAATTCAATTTTCAACATAGATGAACACTCTAGTAGTTGGTGCATGTATCCTTATTCAAAAGGCTGAATGAAAATTAATCATTCCTTCTATAAAAAATGGAAAATCTAAACATAGATATCGACTTATATATAAAGGGATAAAATAAATCCCATTATGAGTATTTTGTTGAAATCTATAGCTATGAAAGAAATTGTTCTTTTAATGCAAAAAAGAGCAACTAATTTCTTATCTTAAACTTAAATAGGAAAAAGGATAATTTTTTATTTTGAAAGCTAGCCATTTGATTGAATGATAAATGCTTGCATCTACTATTCAACAATTTAATTTGAATCGTTCCTTCTCAAAAGAAAATGCAATTTCAAAAATTTAATATTAAAAAAAGGCATCATTTTTAATAAAATGTGATTTTTTTACTATTGTTAATACATTGCATTTTAGTTTGAGAGAAGCCAAAATATTAATTAAATGAAAGGGCAGAGATCGCTCATGCAAGTTGTACATTCTAAGAGCTATGAATTTTTTTACCAATCAACCAATTATTTAATTTGTCATATTCTGGAGAAAGATTATCACCTTCAGGTGTCAGATAATTAGGTTGATGAAATTTCGATACAGTTGCTTGAATTAAAGTCTCTTACCATCCATCATTTGTCATAAAATCTTGCTGAGTGGATTTGGTAACCTGTAAGGCAATATTCTCTTAATCTTTATGCTATCCTTGACACGATCATTTACCAATTCAGCTTTTTAATGATTTTTCCCATCTTCTCACTATATGAAGTCCTCATTGGCTACCATCCAAGCAAACCAATTCTTTTATTCTCCCATTGTTAAAAATATAGAGCTGAAGAAAAAGAGAGACTCAACATTTATGGAATAATAATGATGACAAGAAAGAAAGTGAAGCTTGAATGGATAGCGAATGACATGCTAGAAGTCTTAGCCTCAAGAAAAAGAGGTTAGGATTACTGAAGCAAATGAGTGGGCTATCCACTTTATGCAGTGCGAATGCTTGTGCCATCATCCATGGCCCAAACAAAATTGAGCCAATGGTGTGGCCGTCACATGACGTGGTACGACAACAACTTGCCCAGTTTTAAAGCTTGTCCAAGTTAGAGCGACTAAAGAAAATGATGAGCCAACAAACCTACGTCAAAGTGCAGGTTAAGAAGGCTAAAAAACAGTTAATGAAGTACGAAAAGAGGAACAAGGAAATTGAGATGGCCCAACTTATGGATCAAATCAATCAAGGCAAAGGGCTTGATGAAGTTAACCTCAGTGAACTGAATGAGTTGTCTTTGTTTGTGGATAAGAAGATAAAGGAGATTAGCAAACGGATTGAGTTTTTCCAACAAGGTCCTTTTGCTCCTACAAGTGCCCTTCCTCACCTCTTCCTCTTCCTCCCCAAGGCCTTAAAGTAAATGAAATGGCTTGAATTGGTAAACTTACATTGGTGGAGACTGTAGCACTTCTGTTGAGACTTTGCTATGGAACTAATGTTTCATCGATATGATGAACCAAGATGAACCCTAACTTTCTACCAATAGTAGTGTAAGGAGTGATATGGGCTTACCACATCACCCATTAGCTAGGAGTGCTACAAATGATCTGGGACTAGCAATACACTCATTAACTGGTAATTTCAGCGTTGCAACTGACATAGGCTGCATCCTATAGATTTTAAACCCCATGGTGCAGGTGACGTAGGGCTTTGTCATGGGAGTCTAGTCAGAGGTAGCAATTTTGGTCTTCTTATGAGTGATATAAAGCTGGAACTCCACCCTTCAAGTGGATAATTAGGAAGCAACTCCATTGAGAGTGAGATACGGCGGCCACATCTTTGGCATTTTGGAGGCAACAATAGTGGGGTTTGTAGAGATATCAAGTTTCCATTTGATTAGAAAATCTTGCCAAACTATTTCACTCTTGGAATTTAATTTGTGTCGTTGTTAAGTTGCATTGGGTATCCATAAGAAGTCACATTCATGAATTTATGAGTACTACCAAATTTAGTTTCCTTTGTTGGCCAGTTGTTAATTTGTTGTTTAGTTTCACATAAATTATGATGTAATAAAAATAATGGTTTTATGATTCAAGTAACATAATCTTCTTGTTTTCTTTCATTTTGAGAAGCGTATAAAATATTAAGAAAATAATTGAGCTAACTTAGAATATATATATATATATAATATTGAAAATAAATTCAATTTTGGACATCAATGAACACTCCAGTAGTTGGTGCATGTATCCTCATTCATCCTTACTCAAAATGTTGAATTCAAATTCTATCGCTCCTTATATAAAAAAAGAAAATCTAAATATAGGTATGGATCTGTATATAAAGGGATGAAATAAATCCATGTTGAGTTTTTCGTTGAAATCTAAATTTATGAAAAAAATTATTCTTTTAATGCAATAATGCAACACTAATTGTTTATCTTAAACGTAAGTAGCAAAAAGGGTAATTTTTTATTTTGATAGCTAATCATTCAACTAAATTATAAATGCATGCATTTGCTATTTAAAAATTTAATTTGAATTCTCAAAAGAAAATGCAGTTTTGAAAGTTTAGTCTTAAAAAAAGACTTTTTTTAAAATAAAAGTATGACTCTTTTAATATTGCTAATGCATTGCATTTTAGTTTGAGAGAAGCCAAAATGTTAATTAAAAGGAAGGCCTAGGATCGCTCATGTGAATTGTACATTCTAAGAACTAAGAATTTTTCTGCCAATCAACCAATTATTTAGTTCATCATTTCCTAGACAAAGATGATCATCCTTAAGTATCACATAATAAGGTTGATGAAATTATGAAACTTTAGCTCAAATTTTATGGTCTCGAGTGGCATTATTCGAGTGGTCTAGGTTACAAGAGTGTTCGGAAGATGGTTTGAAAATATTCATTGGGATGGGTTTATTCCAAACAGTAACCACCAATTTTTACAAACTCATTTCACTCTTTTATTTTCTTCTTCTTTTTTTTTTCTCACATTATCATGGAAATAAGTTATTGTCACAACCCGTTTCTAAGTGTCGATGACTGGCGCAAGGACCTAGATGGGTATAGCCCACTAAACCTAATCAAGCCTCTTACATTCATACATATAATAAATGATCATGAAAAACGTTAAGCATTCATTCCATATATCAGGTAAATTATCTATTTCACCATCACATCATTATGAAATGTTACCTCATAACAAGTGGGAATGCTCACATGCATATATACTAGCATTTCAAAACATAGTTTAGAAAACATGTCTTTAGCATGGATTTGCACCTTGGAGCTCAATTGGGCCCTTGGCCGTGAAAAACATAAGTCATTAAATTATGCGCAGAGCCTTTAAAGGCTAACTCCATAACATGTTCAACATTCATAACATAAACATAAATAAAAGATCAACTCATTGGCAGAAGATGAGATGACTTTTAGGCTGCAAGTGATTGCTAGATCACCTACCAAAAAAGGAATGGATCAGATCTCTGCGACACAGATGGGTAATCTACTATCATTGATCTGCAAGAAAAAAAATATGAGCAACTAAAGTGTGAGTCACAAAGGCTACGTGAGTGAATAAGGGAAAGGGACAAGTAATTGAGTTAGAGCTTTTACACAAATATAACATTTAAATAATAATGCCTATATGGTCTTTTAGCCTTATAACTTTTAATACCCTATGCTTACATGACACGGTACGTTAAGACACGAGCATCTTGTTTGTCTTACTCATTATATTTTCATGCTATTTCATTTTAATTCGATCTTGCTCATGGTCTATTTTGATTCTTAGCAGACTGTTTTCTTTTGTCATTTCTTTAAAAGGTCAACAAAGAATAAAAAAGCTATAAATGTGAAACAACATAACTCCTATATTAATAGTTGCACAAAGAAGTCAACTTTATTAGTAGCTTGACATATTGATGTGGTTGAGCTAAGCTTAACACAAAAGGTCAATTTTTGAGCTTTGAACTGTCCTTTTTCCAATCTTGAGCTGTATGAGCAACTACTTCTAGATTAATATATTTATTTTCAATTAATCTATATTAATCGTAGTTCAAAATTATAATTATTGAGTAATGAATAATCAATCAAAATAATTAATTTTTGTTTACTATTGGATTATGATTGGATGTTTTTAATTATATATGTTGGATGCTTTTATTATGTAGCATGATAATTTTTCTATGTGTATATTTTGAGTTATTTTAATATTTATATAATATTTTTCAAATTAAAAATAATGCGTTGGATGTCCTGCATAATTAATGAGCATCGATACTTTTATGGTTTCATGAGAGAACTTTTGTTGAAAATGGAGTAACACTTTGAAGATGAGTGATGGTGGAAAATATTTCTCACAAGATAATCCAAATATACTCAAATTCTGTACACAAAAAATATTTTCTTTCAACAAGTTATTTTTCAGTTAGCAAATGGAGTCTTGAAATAGCATATTGTCTCACTTTTGAATTAGAATAATTTTTCACCACTATAAAATATGGCATAAAATAATATTCATCATGGATAATGTATAGGCACATATTTTAAAAGATTGATCGATTGATTAATATACCTTATTCTCTTGGAGTTAGGTGAACATATGAGATCTTTTCTCAAGTTTGACTATTAATTACAATACATTTGAATTAAAACTGGCATGCTAATCTAACCTATGAACATGATAATATTTCACCACTGTAAAACATTTGCATAATAATGTTCATTTGGGGTAATACATGCTTGTCTTGAAATATTGATTGATTAGGTTATATACTTTTTTGTTATGAATTTGGCGGACAGATAAAATCTGCTGTCAATTCTGATTACTAGATTATATCCAAATGATAACTATCAGGTATATGTCTCTTTCACACATGATAATATTCTATCATCGTGATCATCCAAGATAATATGATCTTCTCTTAATTTGAAGATTGATCCACTAATTGATTAATATATTGTTTTATACTTTTTAAATATGAATAATTAAAATGAATAGATGAAATTTTTTTTGAAATTTTGTCATTAAAATGCATTTGAATATAAACTAGAAATAGAAGCTTTAAGGTTAATGGGTCACACAAATTCAAATACTTTAATAGCACAATTGTTTTCAATATTAGTCCAGGTAATATACATTAAACATAATTGAATAACAATGAATTATCTTACCATAGTGAGCAACAAATTAAATTCTCTTACTGTCTATAATTTATCATAAAACTTTGACGTGTGGGTTTGCTAACTTGTAAAACATTATTCTCTTAATCTACAACTATCCTTAACATCATCATTTACCAACTCAGCTTTTCAAAGATTTTTCCCATCTCACTAACACAATATAAAGTCCTCATTAGCTACCATTTAAGCAACCTAATTCTCTTCTTCTCCCCTTGTTAGAAATATATAGTTTAAGAAAAAGAGAGACTAGCCATTTGTGGAGCAATATCCATGACAAGAAAGAAGGTGAAGCTTGAACGGGTAGCAAATGGCAAAGCTAGAAAACTTAGACTCAAGAAAATGAGGTTAGGATTATTGAAGAACATAAGTGAGCTATCCACTCTATGTGGTGTCAATGCTTGTGCCATCATCTATGGCCTAGACGAAATTGAGCCAACGGTCAAACAGCTCTTAATCAGAGTCAAGCAGCATCAATTTGAAACCTTGAGACTCAGTTCGTTAACTTGCTAATTTATTAAACATCCGACCTTAAGGAACATTGTCTAGCGATATAGAGGTGAATCCAAGGAGAGAAGGTATGGAACAAGTTATGTCGATCACCTTAAAGAGTGAAAAAGAGGTTAAAAATAGTGTTAGGCAAGCTAATATTCAAAATAAGCTAGTTGAGAATGAAACATTGATTGAGACAACTGACAAGCAAAATCAAAAGAAGGAAGCAAAGACAATTTTACCACCACCACCCTTTCCTCAAAGCTTTTAGAAACAAAAGCTTGATAAGCATTTCAAAAATTTCTGGAGGTATTCAAAAAGCTTCACATCAACATTCCTTTCGTAGAAGCTTTAGAGCAAATGCCATTATATGTGAAGTTTTCGAAGGATATATTGACAAAGAAAAGGAAATTGGAAGATTTGAGACAATTACAGTCACTAAGGAGTGTAGCTCGATAATCTAGAACATGCTTCCACCAAAGCTTAAGGATCCAAGGAGTTTTTCCATCCTTTCTTCAATTGTTAATTTTAATTTTTCGAAAGCTTTGTGTGACTTAAGTGCTGATGTCTCAATAATGCCTTTGTTTGTTGCTAGGAGACTTAGACTGACAGAGATTCAACCTACTATAGTCACCTTATAGTTAGCAAAGAAAACAATGAGGCACCCATGTGGGATTATAGAAGATGTCTTGCTTAAAGTGGGGAAATTATACATTCCAGTGGACTCCATAGTACTTGAAATGGAAGAGGATCAAGGGATTCTAATCATATTGGGACATCTATTCTTAGCCATTGTAGGTGCACTTATTAATGTAAAGGAAGGCAGAATAACTTTTAGAGTTAAAGAGGAGGCAATTGAATTTGCTATTTTCAATGCACCTAAATACCTTTCCTCCATAACTCTATGCTATAGAGTGGACGTACCTGATAAAGGTAAAGGTAGTCCTACTCCACCATTTACAAGTAAGCAGGCATCAATTCTTGAATTAAAGCCACTGCCACCACCG